TATTTTGGATTTGTGTTCTTATCACCTGGCTGGCGCCAGGAAATTTCCCTAATTCACCCATCAGATTATCCACATAGTTAAGAATGTTTTATCCATTAATTTTATTTCTTCTAGTTCACCATATCCCTAAAACTCAAATGATGTTTTCATATTAAATTGCTTCTAGATATTACTGATGCCTATTTTTCTTTAGCTCCTAAATACTAATTTGATTAATAGAGGTCCTGTTTTCTCTCTGATAAAAATATAAGAATACAAGGTCTACATATCTCAGAATTATTACTCTTAGTAAAAGGCAGCATAGCTTGGCAGTTACATGGAACATAAACTAAGGCAAGAAAGCTACTGGGAAAAGATTTTTTTCTCTTTGGGCTCTCTTATGACAGAAAGGAATCTGAGCAGCATATCATCCAGATATTTTTCCCTATGGTTTTCTTCACTATAAATTTGCAGCTCAGTTAAAAGTTAGGCAAAATAGAGAACATACTCCAACAACATACATTACAAGTTGGAGAAAAGTGCAAAAATGGGGATAAGGAGAAAATGCTTCTCACTCCAATATTGCAAAATGCCAGGCACCATTTCTATACTCATTATTTCCTTCATTCTTTCATTGATATTTACCTAACATTTACTATGTATACACCATTGTTCCAGGTGTTGGGGATATAACACTGAATAAAGGAATATATGAATGATGACACATAAATGAATACATAGAAAAAAGATAAGAATACAAACGGTGACAGCTCTTTGAAAATGACACAATACTACAAAACTCTTTTGTTATTATCATCTTGACCACAAGAGAATCTGGATAATTCTGTGGATTATGATTATAAAAGTTGTGTTTTCCTTACACACAAGAGCAAATACACCTTAGTAGACTTGAAGTTTCAAAGCAATTTTCACTGGCAAAGTTTCTGACTTATATTCAAAATTCTGTTAATCTACAATTGGACACTTCTCAATTCTCATTCAGTCATAAATGCAGAAATAACACTCTATAATTCACATTAACTTTTCCAATAAATTAATCGATTTTAGCCTAGACAGTGTTCTAATTCAGCTTCTGTTTTCTCCAACAGTAAATCTCAGGTTTCATTTCTACAGCCAGCTATGGACCAGAATGAAAGATTTAACGAAGCTTCAGCTTGGTAGTTGTTGAGTAAGCACTCTGATACATTTCTACACTATAAACATTAATGAGACTTACTCCCAACAGAGTATTTACTACATCAATTTATTTCATAGTATTATGTTTGCAGAAGCAAGATAGAGCAAAGGTTGTTTTGGATCCTTTACCAATACCGCTTCCTGTAAATAAAGAAAAGTGCAACCATTTAATTTACAAAATCATTTTAAAAGGCTAAATGCTCAATAAATTCTGCTTTATCTAGTTCAGACAGCCTCAGAAGCTATTTGTAACTTGGGCATAAAATGTATATAAAATTGGAGCATTTTTATACCAGCTTTCTGTCCCTGACTTTGACTGGAACTGAATTTCAAAGGTTGTTGAGACAGTATTGGGATTTCTGGGCAATATATTTGAAATTCCATCCTGCCCTGATAAGGCAGTCAGCCACTTATTTTATGAAAAGGAAGTCTCTATTACTATGTGTATGCCCACTCTCATCCAAGCTACACAAACACACACACACACACACACACAGTACTTTTTCCTTTTCTCCAACCACTGCCATTTCTTTCCTCTCACTTTCAACTAAAGCGAGAAAAGAGAAGAACCTGAAGGAAGACAACTTCAAAATCTTCTGCCTTCTTCTATAACCCTAATATAGAAAAACGTATCTGGGATAAACTGGACCTCTTACACAAGCATCCCCTGACACAATTCTGTTTAGTGCTATGAAAAATGTGATACACAATCCTATCTGTCCACTCTTGCAAATTTCACCTCACCATTCTAGTCACTCCCCATATACAGACTATTTCTACTTAAGTAACATAGGTACCCAGAAAATAAATTTTCAATAAAAAGTTATGCCATCTTTGGGGCTAAGTAATACTTATAATTTTTCTGATGGCTCCAATAAACTAAGAATTGTAGGATAAATTTTGTTGAATTTTAATTAAGCACATTAATCTCAGAGGTTAGTATAACACAGAAGTTAGAAATATCTTCCAAAGTCAGACAGACTAGATCCTGATTACTACCACTCACTAGCCTTCTGATTTGGAAAAAAACTAATATAATGTTTTATTTTCTGTAAAACAACAACAACAAAAACCCACTTCTATGCTTTGTTGTTATTTAGTGGGTAAGTTGAGTCCAACCCTTTGCAACCCCATAGACTGTAGCCCACCAGCTCCTCTGTTGATAGGATTTTCCAGGCAAGAATACTGAAATGGGTTGCCATGTCCTTCCCCAGGAGATCTTCCAGACCTAGGGAGTGAACCCTACATGCTACACGTCTCCTACATTGCAGGCAGATTCTTTACCACTAAGCCACCTGGGAAGTCCCCACTTATATGGACACTTGTAACAAGTGATAAATTTATGTTAGATGTTTAGCTATCAAAAAATGCTACATATTGTTATATGGGGGATCTAATGTTCTGCTAGTATCACTGGTATAAAATTAGTTAAAAACATAATCTTGCCTACAGCGTATTTTTCAATCTTATTGTGAAGACAAAACACTCATCTAATAGACAAGTTTACCAGGTACTCATTACACAGGGCAAACATTTAGATGATCGGGTATTATTAAAGAATCATCATTATTTTTCCACCTTATCTAGACGAACAGGTCCTAAAATTTTCACATGAATGCTAAAATTGGGAACTTAATAGATTTTTTTCATTGATGCCAATAATTAGGAATTGAATAATATTAGATTAGAAATGAAAATGTCTGTTTAAGATGTGTGACTAAAGTAAAAGCATATGGAAAGGTTATTTTAAACTTAAACAAATTATATATCTAATAAGTTTATTGTGAAAGTAATAATGTTAAGAGCAACACAAGAATTATAGGCTATGTGCTTTTTTAAGTTATCAGTAAAATTTTAGTAATTTTAACTGTGCTTTTTTTTTTTCATTATGGAAGTATCTGCTTTCAAATAGTCACCTCCACCACTAATAATGAAAGCTAAAATCTACTGAGAACTTATTATATGCCAGTCACTGCTGTGATCATTTTTACATTATTATTATTCACTGAGTTAGACAACACTAAGATACAGGTCCTATTATCATTATTCTCAATTTATAGGTGAGAAAATTAGAAAATTAAGAGTTGAATAAAATAGCTTACTTAAGATTGCATGGGCAGCAACCACCACAGCTGAGATAGGAACCCAGGCATTCGGTCTCCTGAACTCTTATCTTTAAGCATTATATAGAATTGTCTTCCATTACACAAGTACATATCTGACTTGGATAACCAATGATCTTTGACATTATATTGGAATGTCTGAGAAATATCTCAGCTCAACATTTTGAAAACTAAGTTGCTGATCTTCCTCTCAAAACTGACTTCACCCATGTCTTCCCCATCATAATCGATAAAAACTCATCCAATTGCTCAAGCCAAAAAACAAACAAACAACAACGATAACCTCATAATTATCTGTGGGAGGAACAGAGATGTACTGCCCATGTCTCTCTCCCAGGTAGGACTTGCTGCCTAGCTGTGGAGAGTGGGACCAGCAAATGTCCCTGGCTGTCAGTTCCTTCAGGATCTACCTCAGCTTAGAGAGGTTATCCCCACTCCCCATGTCTGCAGGTCAAACCCTTTCCAGGGCAGCATGACCTGCCTCCAGTGACTGAAAGAGGCCTGACTATTTTTACCTGACAAGATACACTTGAGGTTAAGACTCTCGCCAGAGCTCCCTGCTCACTGGTTCAGCTTTGGAGGTCCAGCTCACAGGTAGACTTCATTCTCTACCCAGTCCTGCTCCCTTCCTCTTCCTTCATAGACGTTAATTCCTAATAGCACGTTGTATCCCAACCTCTGTCTAGTGTGTGCTTCTAGAGGATCTAAACTGCAACACCAGCCACGACCCTTCCCTTTCTCTCACACCCTACAACTAACTTGAACTGTCAAATCCAGCTGGCTCTTCTTGCAAAATTTAGCCTCAATATTCACTAGCCACCCTAGTCCAGACTAAAATGTAAAGAGGTCATGAGAGCAGTGCTCAATTATACCCCAAACAGAAAGAACAGTTCACATGGAATGAATAAATTCTATATTTCATAAATTGATCTATGTAAAATAAAGTCATGTCAGTCTAATTAACAATCACAATTTAAATTCATTGACATCCTTGGAAGAGATGTAAAGGAATCAGAAGTCTACGGATAGAATGTGGTTGTTGTTTAGTCACTCAGTCGTGTCGCCTCTTTTGCGACCCTGTGGACTGTAATCCTCCAGGTTCTTCTGTCCAAGGAATTTCCCAGGCAAGAACACTGGAGTGGGTTGGCATTTCCTACTTCAGAGGATCTTCTCCACCCAGGGATTGAACCCATGTCTCCTGCATTGCAGGCAGATTCTTTACCACTGAGCCACCCAGGAAACCCACTGGTAGAATGCTGCTGCTGCTGCTAAGTCGCTTCAGTCGTGTCCGACTCTGTGCAACCCCATAGATGGCAGCCCACCAGGCTCCCCCGTCCCTGGGATTCTCCAGGCAAGAATACTGGAGTGGGTTGCCATTTCCTTCTCCAATGCATGCATGCGTGCTAAGTCACTTCAGTCATGTCTGACTCTGTGAGACCCCATAGATGGCAGCCCACCAGGCTCCTCGGTCCACAGGATTCTCTAGGCAAGAATACTGGAGTGGATTGCCATTTCCTTCTCGTCACTGGTAGAATATCTATCTGCTAATCAGTTCACTGGAAAACAGAGACAATGATTGAGACTGAGTAGGATTTTTATTTACTCATACTCTGAACTCCAACCCAAGCATCTTAAAACACACACATTTAATTATTTTCATACTGGTATATCAAATCACATTTTAATTTTCTCTCAACTTACCTCAAGCTCATCAAGGGCACTTCCCAGGGTTGCTGATTGAGGCTCTGGTGAGGCTAACATGTTCTGGATGCCCTGTGAAGCATTTGAAATTACATTGAGGGCATTCTGAATTTCTCCACAAACTGTGTCCTTGCTAGCTTTAAGGGATGCAACATCAGAATGTTCCAAACAAGCTGAACAAATTGAATGCAGTATGGGGGAGTTCTCCTTCAATGAGGCCCGGGCACCTGCAATTTCATCCCTCTGATTTGGAGATTTTAGGTCCTGAGGAGAGAAATAAAAAGAGAGATTATGGAAGAAAGATTTATACAAAGAAGCTCCATTTTTCTGCCAATATAAACAAAAAGATAATAGATACTAGGAAGTCATAACTATAAGTTAAACTTAGGGCATAAATTATTTCTACACTCTTGATTCTGTTAAAAGTTCTATAAAGCTTACCAATTAGCAAATAAAGGACACAATGGTACAGATGTGCAATAACTTTTACATGTGTCAGCCATATACTTATGTCAGAAAAATACTCTGGCCTTCACATTATTAACTGAATTATAAGAGGGCTTCACTTCCAAGGATGCTGATTACCTATTTGCATACACATGATACTTCCATTTAATCTTTTTGTTAAAACTAAACCATATTAAATTAAACCTCCCACCATTCAGCTATCTTTAATTCTTTTTCAGAAATACTTGCTAATAAATTAATCTTGGATCTTTCTTTCTTCAACATTTATTCAACATATAGTTATTGAGCAATTAGTATATGCTAGCCCTTGAGGCTTCCCTGGTAGCTCAGATGGTAAAGCGTCTGCCTACAATGCGGGAGACCCGGGTTCGATCCCTGGGTGGGGAAGATCCCCTGGAGAAGGAAATGGCAACCCACTCCAGTATTCATGCTTGGAAAATCCCATGGACCGAGAAGCCTGGGGGGCTACAGTCCATGGGGCCGCAAAGAGTCGGACACGACTGAGCGACTTCAGCTCAGCTCAGCCCTTGTGCTTAGATGTCAAGTGCACAGAAGGGAACAGTCCTACAGGGACCTTGTTCTCCTGAGGCTTATATTCTTGTTTGAGGGAAAGGGGATCGAAAGCAAATGATAAACTATGTAAACAAATACATAAGACAATCTCAGGTAACGACAAATTCTATCAGGAAAACACAAAAGTGAGTGTCAGCAACTGACAAGATGAGAAGCTAGTTTAGCTTGGGTGGTCAGAGGAGATAATTCCTCAGAGATGACATTTGCAATAAATATAAATAAAAAGCATTTCAAACAGTGGGAGGAGAGGAAAGAGAAGGTCCTATGTAAGTGATAGTGGATCAAAACCAGCTCAAACCTACAGGAAAAATCCCTGGCAAGTACTATCTTAGCCAAGAGATGAACGTTAACATCATCAATGATGTCACAAGGATATCGATTGATTCTTGATATATTATGACAAGATGACTACTTCACCTGCCCGGAATTCTCTCTAAAGCCCATAGTCTCAATCTAATCATGAAAAAACAACAACAAACAAAACCAGATTGGGGGAAATCCTGCATGATATCTGGACAGTATTCCTGATTAAGGTCCCAGAAAACAAAGAGACTGACTGAGGAACTATCATAGAGCAGAGAAACTGGAGAGACATGACAAGTAAATGCAACACAGAACCCTGGATCAGATCCCGGAACAGAAGGAAGACACTAACGGAAAAAGTGATGAATTCCAAATAAAGTCCAGAGTTTAGTTAACAGTAATTCATCAATGTTTGCTCATTGTGGCAAATGTAAGACATTAACAGTGCAGGAAATCAGAAGAGTAGATCAGAAATTTCTGTATGATCTTTGCAACTTTCCCAGAAATCTAAAATTATTAATATAAAATAAAAAGTGTACTTTAAAGAAAACTAACTCAAGTGAACTGAACAATAATTTATGCATTCCACACATAATATCTCATGTAATACTTATAAAAACTCATGGTACCTATTTTTCTCTTTTTAAAGATGAGAAAACTGGCTTCCTGCAAGAGTGACATCTCCAGGATCTTACGCATTAACTTTCCACGATTTGTTGCACAGTGATTTGTATTTATTGCCTCAAATGTAGTAATACCTTTAAAAAGTCTGGAAACTCAGAATTAGGGTTATAAAAAAAATCATAAATTATATGTTTAATTTTTATCTGACATACCCCCAAATTTTATCTTTCAGAAAGTTAGGTATAATATGGGTTCCAGCGCCAACTGACTGAGCTAAATGTAGAATTTCTTGCATCGTAACACAAGTCAGTGTGACTGCTAAGACATGATCTTAACAGCTTCTCACAGGGAAAGGATTTCTCTCATTTGCTATTATACAAAGATGAGGACTTGTGTTTTTTTGCTTTTTTTTCCCCCCAATTATTTTTATTAGTTGGAGACTAATTACTTTACAATATTGTAGTGTTTTTTGCCATACATTGACATGAATTAGCCATGGATTTACATGTGTTCCCCATCCTGAACCCCCCTCTCACCTCCCTCCCCATCCCACCCCTCTGGGTCGTCCCAATGCACCAGCCCTGAGCCCTTGTCTCATGCATCCAACCTGGGCTGGTGATCTGTTTCACACTTGATAATATACATGTTTTGATGCTGTTCTCTCAGATCATCCCACCCTCACCTTCTCCCATAGAGTCCAAAAGTCTGTTCTGTACATCTGTGTCTCTTTTCCTGTCTTGCATATAGGGTTATTGTTACCATCTTTCTAAATTCCATATATATACGTCAGTATACTGTATTGGTGCTTATCTTTCTGGCTTACTTCACTCTGTATAATGGGCTCCAGTTTCATCCATCTCATTAGAACTGATTCAAATGAATTCTTTTTAATGGCTGAGTAATATTCCATTGCATATATGTACCACAGCTTCCTTATCCATTCGTCTGCTGATGGGCATCTAGGTTGCTTCCATGTCCTGGCTATGATAAACAGTGCTGCGATGAATGTTGGGATGCACGTGTCTCTTTCAGATCTGGTTTCCTCGGTGTGTATGCCCAGGAGTGGGATTGCTGGGTCATATGTATTATACAATGACTTACAGTTTATAAAGTGTTTCTGGATAGTATCTCACTGATCATCACAACACCCCTTGAGGCAGTTAGGCTGGTGTTATCAGCCCCATTTTGGCTAAATAGTTATTTAGTATTGGGAGATTAAAAAGCTGGCAGAAGAACTGAGATGTAAACGTAAATCTTCTGATTGCAAATCCCATGACTAATTCACAAGACTCCTCTACCTTGGAATAATGCTGCCTGAGGCTAATAAATGGCTGCACTACTATATTTTTAGCTCCTCCTTTTCTCAAAATAAAGGCTGTCTGCTACTTCAGGTGGCCTTTGAGAGAGTAACTTTTTTACAAGATGCAGGAGGACAGTTAGAAGTAGCTGTCAACTCACTGTTCATACTCATTAATAACCCCAGAAAAGACATTGCATGATTTTCTTGACTTGCTATGATTTCCCCTATAGATTTCTGGTCTGGGTTCTAGTTTCAGCTCTGTCATTAGTACTAAGCTGGGCAAGTCTACTTATCAGTGTCTGTGTTTCCATCTGTAAAAATGAGGATAACTGTACTCCTGCCAACCCGGTAAGGGGATTCAGTCAGTGGCATAACAGAATTGGAATATGCTTGTAAAGTAGTAGAGAATTACAGAAAGCATTCAGAAATATTTTATTCCTAAAATTTATCAAACTTGGGACACTGTTTTTGTTCTGTAATAGTCTTAGTGATTTTCATATTCCCAACAGTTTTGTACAATTGTGTGTGTGTGTGAGTGTGTGTGTGTGTGTGTGCGTGAGTGTGTGTGTGTGTGTGCGCGCGCGCGCTCATTCAGTCATGTCCAGTTCTTTGCGACCCCAAGAACTGTAGCCCACCAGACTCCTCTGTCCAAGGAATTTTCCAAGCAAGAATACTGGAGTGGGTTGCCATTTCCTACTCCAGGGGCTCTTCCCAACCCAGGGATCAAATCCACATCTGTTGCTTCTCCTACATTAGCAGGTGGATTCGTTATCTACATTTATCTCAATGTGACTTAGAGGAAAAATAATTTAATGTTTAAAAAGGATGTACACTCCTCCAAAGAATAATGACACCATGTATAAATATTCATAAAGAACTGAAGAAAATTCTCTGCATATTACAGTATAGCTATAACTATATAACTTCTTCTATTTATACTTCTCTATTTAGAAAGACAAGGTCAATGTTTAGGTAGTTTCTGGAAGATGGAAGTCCGTGAACATGTATTATTACAAAGAAGGATAAAGTTAAAACATTATTCCATATATATATATATATATATATAACTGTTAATTGTGTTAACTTTTATGCTCTAGGAACTTTGAAGTTTTAAAAATTGTAATATATTTTGGCTTTTGAGCCTATGCCTTGTTATCTCTGCCCAAAGCAATTACAGAATTCTTAATGAGCACTGATAGCCTAGATGGCAAGCCAACAAAGCTTGTTAGAAAAGTTCAGTGAATGTAACAAAAATATCATATTATTGCAGCAGGTGGAAAAAGAAGGCAGTTTACAGAGTTTAGGAAAGAAAAATTGAGAAGACAAGGTTATTTCTCCTAAAAGACACCCCAAAGGATAAATTTAATGTAGTAAATAAGCACACAAATAAAAGGACAGCTAATGAATGTCACACTTCTAAACAAAAGTTGTGGTTCTTTTGCTTTAGCAATCATACCAAAGGTCCATAAGTTGTCTATTTATACTTAATTTTTTTTCAGATTTTTTTCCATTTATTTTTATTAGTTATTATTAAATTTAAAACCAGGTCAAAATAGGAATTAAATGGTAGGGTCATTTAGGGATTTCTCTGGATGAAGAATTGTAAAGAATTGCATCTTGAGGACTGGTACCTATTTAATATCTTTTTTAATGCTCCAGAAGAAAAAGCTTACATGAGATTTCCAAGTTAAGGAGACATTAAATGCTTCCAGCTGATGAAGAAATACACAGATGGGACTTAAAAAGAAGACCTTACAAGTCTGTGCAAGTGGGTAGAGAAGCAACATATGAGTTTTAACCCTGGCAAGAGAACAAAATATATTTAGGGATTTTAAAGATCATAAAGTATAAAAAAGGAGGGCTCTAAGCTATCAGTTAATTAATTCAACTGTTCATTCAACAATATTGTTGAGCCCTCCCCCCCTCTGTATATTAGGCAGTGTGCTAAATGTTAAGCAAGCAAGATATAGAGCTTACAGATCAGAAGGGGAAAACA